TCTGAGTCCGAGTGTGGAAGTGATTGCCACTGTCAGTTAAATGATGTTAAATGTTGTTGTTGTTGTTGTTGTTGTTGTTTTCGCGGGGGGGGGCGAGTGTTCTAGTTCCAGTTCCACTTCCAGTTCGAAGTTCCTACTCTGGGTCCGAGTCTGGTCTGGACGTGATGGCCAATGTCACTTGAATGTCGATTAATATTTTTGCCGGGGGGGGAGTTCCAGTTCCAGTTCGAGTTCCAGTTCCAGTTCGAGTTCCAGTTCCAGCTCGAGTTCCAGTTCCAACTCTGGGTCCGAGTCTGGACGTGATGGACAATGTCACTTTAGTGTATTTTTTTTACCGGGGGGGGGGGGGGTTCCAGTTCGAGTTCCAGTTCCAGTGGGGTACACTATGTGCCTTTCTGTCCGTGCCTGTATTCTATAGCTATCAACATTGTGGGTGAGGGGGTTCTCTCGTTCTTGCTGCAACATGCAACATGCAATAATGGATCCACAAAACCATCGGCGGAGGCATGTGCAACGGCGCCAACTCTTCCGTCGGGGCCACAAGCTGAAACTTGGCTTCACCGAGCGGAGGTCACCATCGATTCGAACAGAGCAGAGATCAGTGCAGACTTGAACACGATTTGAACACGATTTTTTGGTCATTGGGATGACTGGAAAGATATTCTTCAGTGTTTTTGTTCAAAGAAGGTAACGGTTGTGCACAAAAACTAACACATTTCCTGTCTCATTACACATAATTGTGTGCTTTCCATGGTTTTGAAGCCCTAGCCAGGGAGTGAGACAAGTCTCTTTTCTGACTGAGTTGTTTCTTGATGGCCCATGGAGCGCTTCTATGTTTCTGTGAGGTACCTCTTTCATAATCTAACTGATCCTGCAGTTTTTTGGTGGCGGCCCTTCTTGACACATCCAGCTTACAGGAAGTACAACATAGTGCTCTCCTCTAGTATGAGTTCTGCTGTTTTGCATTGTGGCCACCAACCCGCTTGAGTAGCGTGGCCTTGACTTCTCAGGATTGCACGGGGCAGTCAGCAGGAGCTCCCTCCATGCGCTTGTCACGGTGAATCAGCTGCAGCCATCGTCAGACTGGGCATACATCACCATGACCATGTCAACCAAACACCCAGAGTGGGTTAGATTAGATCTTGATTGACCATCTGCTAGTACACTACGAAGAGCTGGCGCTACTACGTACTACACGTCATGAGACGTACGTCAACTCGCGGTCGCAACCGACTTCACGTCCGAGCATGCAGAGACGTTGCCCGCTAATGGAGAGAAGCTTGCCGGGCGTCCAATTACCGCACCTGACAGATGTTTTACAATGCTAGAGCCATTTTCATCCTGAGTGACTTGCCTGGCAATGAGGAGATGTCCCAATCTCTTTGCAAATTGACCCTTGTCTCCCTAGCCATCAGGATTTGTGTGAGTGATTACCCTGACTCTTTGAGACAGATTGAAGGACAAAGCCATCTGTAGTCGCTCGGACGACTTAGCAACAGCACAAGGAAAGCTACATGGAGCAGATGTCTACATCGTTGGCACTGCACATATCTCGCCTCAAAGCATTGCAGACGTGGAGGAGATACAACAATTCTTGCCAGAAATCTAGGCTAGGTCCTAGGTGCTTATAGTAGATCTAAGTAGCATTGTTTGGCATATGTTGTCCGCGTATAGGAGGCCTTTTCAGGTTTGCTTGGATTATGGACAGCCACCTGGTTCAATTTATGCCTTCGCTCAACATGTTTTGCTGTCAACTGGTAGAGTAGGACACGAAGCCCAGATCATCATGTGGCCACCGCGGGCATTCAGCCACACCACCTCCTGCGCCGTTCATGCAACGTGGTTTTCTGTCGAAAGGGATGCAAGGGAACGTGCTTTTGACTTGAGGTTTCTTTCAACGACCTTTCCCTGTAGCCAGTGCTGTCAGTCAATCCCAAACTGTTCGGAAAAGCATCCTTGAAGTCGTTCAATACGGTCAATGTGTTGTAACCGCAGGAGCTGATGTCCAAAGTGAAGCCAGATGCCGTCGTGGTCGAGCTGAGCCGCGATCGTATCAATAGCCTCTACCCGATGGCTGATTCCAAGAGTCTTGGATGGAAAACTTCAGACTCCTGGGTGCGAAAGCTCAGTAGCGTCCGATCGCTCCTAGGTCCTAGTAGTAAGGCCAGTTTCGCCCCGGCCCTCGTCGCGTCCGATCGCTCCGTTCGTTGCGATGCCCGAAATGCTCCTAGTAGCTTCTTGTTCCTAGTAAGGCACTTGTTTCTACTAGCTTCTTGTTACTACTAGCGTGGCACTTGTTTCTACTAGCTTCTTGTTCCTGGGTGCGAAAGCTCAGACTGGTGAGAAATCCGCGAATTACGTGCTACTGCAGCTCTTCTAGTGCCTTTTGAAGCCTTTTGTTTTGTCCAGGTCAGGCTCACTGCAACTGGATTTGGACACTACGCCTGGTGGCTTTCCAGTTGTTTTACAGACCAGGTCTCCTGGCAAATGAACTGCTAGTCTTTGTGTGTGTGTTGGAAACTATGTTGTACAATGAACTATTGACGAGGGGCTATAAACGACACTTGTATGCATGTGTCCTGCTTGTTTCATATCTCTCATACGTTGGGGAATCTTCAACCAAGAGCAAGGGACTTGCACATTGATTGGCATGTCAAGCGGGTCGCCCCCAAAGAAGCAATTGCATCCTTTGGGATGACTCCAAGCACTAGCCATCATGAGTAGCCAAGGTCATTTGACTCTGAGACAGAAGGTCAGCTAGTCATCCGCCATGCTGCCGAGGATAAGGCCAAGTCAACTACTCAAGTGGTTTGGTGAGGTTTGTTTGTTATTGTTGGTCTGATTGGTTGGCCTCCCTCTAAAGCCCTTTTCAGCCTTCATCATACCCTTTGTCCTATGTATGATGACTTTGCCAGTGGAAGGTGCTTCTACTGTATGCAAACGTGTCAAGCTTTGCCCGTGCCTTTTTGGCTTCTGAGAAAATACATGAACATGCTGTAGGTGATATGTTTGACCTGATTGACACAGTCGATTCAGACTCATGTCCGGTTAGAAAATATCAAGAGAACATACGTTTTTGTTGTTTGAGAGTGCTTGCCTTCAGGTGGATGTGGTGAACATGAGACAACCGCTTGCAAGCCTGAGCCGCTTTGCCGATCATTTGGTCCATCGAGACTCGAATCGCTCAAATCGCTGATGTGAAACAGCGCGCAGAAACTCTGCTCGTGTAGTGAAACTGCGGTTTTCAGCAACAGAAGCACCAACAGGTTGGCAACCAAACTGCTCTTTATTGTGAGTCCGCATCGGTTTGCATCTTCACTAAGGCCATAGCCAGTGGCTGGAAAAGGCTTTTCAGAAGCATCGTGACTTTGAAGCAGAAAACGGTCGGAAACGGTGGGTTTGTTTTCCTGTCAAAGCCTCATCCCGCGTAGAAAAATGAAAGGATTGGATGGTTTTCCAGTTTTTGCCCCACAGGTTGCCACGACCATTCACAGCAAGCGTGATTATATATATATATATATATGCACATAGCAGCTTCCCAAGACTCATCTTTAGTATCTTTGCCTGGTGAAGGCCACACATCGCAGAAAGGTAGCTGTCGGCGGTTTGGACCGGCAGGTCGCGCATCGCTTCGTCGACGGTCAGGCTATCGCAGTGAGACGGTGAAGATTTGGCCGGCCATCGAATTCATGATGGCCATGGCGAATCAGCTCTTCCCGTTGGCCCAGCGGGCCTTCTACTTGTGCCACCCATGAAGTGGGCGGAACAAACTGGCAGCTTCCAGAGAAGCTGTCATTTGGGAGAGTAGATGTCTAGAAAGGGTTTGCTAGGTGATCTTGGACCATACATGGATGGCTGTGGATATAATTCCCAGATCACAGAGCCGGTTGAGCATACCCACTAATTCTGCGTCAATGGCAGTCACCATCAGCTGGACATTATCATGTTGTATCGTCCTTGCTGCCCTTACCTAATTACTCCAAAATACTTTAAACACTCTCAGTTGGCCAAGGAGTATGAGGATGGATTTCAAGATCGGGCCATCGATGGGAGGATCATTTGTTTTTGGGGAACTCGCCAGGTTCTATGGCCTCCAACTTACTAGCGATGGCCTCCAACCTAATGTGATGGCCTCCAACCTAACAGCGATGGCCTCCAACCTAAGTTTTCAACCCGTTATTGGATGATTTGCACTTCCCAGGTCTGTGGGCAACCTTTCGCAGAGTGGCGGAGAGTTTGCCGCCGCCGCGCGTGCGGCGCGCCAGCTGCGTTGCTGGAGTCTCAGAGTGTTAGACCTCAGATCTTAGGATGAATCTTTTTCAATTGGGTGGCCCCTCAACCAACGGTCTAATCTATACATTTAAAAAAACAATGTGTATATATATATATATGGCCCTCAACCAAGGGTCTAATCTATATACATATACTCATTTTGACTCCTGCCAGTTGGTTTCGGGGTCTTACGGTCTCATGCTAAGAAGAAGATAGTCTTGAGCAGCAAGCCTGATGTCCAATGCGCTGTGTCAAGGTCCAATCATCTTGGGTGATGTGGAGAACGAGGTGCGGCAAGCTTGAAGGTATCATTGGATAAGTCTTCGGTAAATAACAGTGCTTTGTACAGGAAGTGTCACGAATCACCTGCTGGGATCAATTTAGACTATATATAACTAAACATTGCATGCATTTCTTGACTCCATCTGAAAAAAGAGGCCAGAAACCGCCAGGGTCGGGAACATCTGGGTGTCTACTATATCGAAACAGCCAACAAAATGAAGTGATCGAGCAACAGACAATGTCTAAAACGTTGGTAACGTAATACACATTTTGGGGTAAATGATTGTACATATTGTGTTTTTGTTGCTTCGAAGGGGGCTTTGGAAGATGAATGAAGATGGTGCCTTCTCGTTTGGGGTTGGTCGACTTGCGATCCATTCCAGGACCTCTTTGATCCGCTGGGCGCTTTAGAGGTGACCCGCGAGGCGAAGACGGGGGTGAGACCCTGACGATTTGGGTACATGTGTGTACTAACACGTGTTGAAATCCATTTCATCCACCCATCTTCCCATTCTATATATGGGTTTTATGCTGGTCAATGATTGTTACCGTTGAAACATGTCTCATTTGGTCTTCCAAAATGCCATGAAATGGCTCGTGCCTTGGCGGATGTTCCATGATTTTCGCCCGAAGCCACCGCAGAGGACTCCTGGTGGGTGCGCCTGGGCGGACCTTTGGTGCGTCCCCACACGGGTGGAGTGGACTTGATCGAGGCCGAGGGGGCGGGTTGCGGGGAAGCCCTACCTCTGAAACTTGACACAAGCACAATCCAAGCGACCCGGTAGGCTTCATTTGCTTTGGCTCATACCCCGGCGATTTTGGCATTCTCAGAAAGTGACCCTACAAAGACCCTATCCTGCTGGAGCCCACAAGGAAGATGACTGGAAGAATTGCAGGAATTTCATGAACCTGAGGCACATCCAAGAATCATGGAAGTGGATGGAGGTGGATGGCTGGAAGACTCCTTTCATTCGGTGTATTACAGTGTTGGACATACATGACCCTTGGATGGAGGGTATCAGATCAGGATTTCAATGCTTGTTATAATGAGGCTTCACACATCTAAGAGCATAATGCCAGGCATTCAGCAAGACCTTCGGGTTTTTGCCACTTGGCACACTGATAGGCCGATAGTCCAATCCTCTCCGACTCTACTTGTTACCAGACATGCTGCTGCCAAACAATGCTACAGGACACGCATTGAGTGAGCGATCAAGTCCCGCATCATCACTTTTCAATGTTTTGAGTACCTTCAAGAGACAAGTTCTTTCTTTGTTGTGGTACAGATCCATTCAACTCATTTGTCAAAGACCTTGACATATATTTTATACCTCATGTCCTGTCTGACACAGGAATCCAAGTATACGGTATAATTACGTTCTTCTCGATCCGAAAAACAAAAAAAGCGACACGTTCTTCTCGGTCCTTGTTGGCTCGTTCTTTCGAGTGCTCAGCTCCGATCCACCCGCCAGGCCTTAAAACATGTCTTTGCGGGCACCACCAAGCCTGGAACTGGAGCACGGATCGGAGCCATTTACTTGGCCTTGCTGGTCTATGGCTTCTATTTGGACGAGAAAGCGAGCCCCACCTGCAGAAGTCATGTGTGGCGGCTGTTTTTGGTCACTTGAATATACATGTCCGAACAGCCCATCAGATGCGCTAGATGCGCTGGCGCCCCGAGGAATGCCATTCACACGGATTTCAACTCTGCCCCTCGTCCAGTTTCAGGAAGGACCACAGTCTTTGCAGCTGGCGTGTCGAGTGAACACAAGGATCTGACAATGTTGACAAGCAATTTGACAGTTTCGACTGAAAGAAAGACACCGATGGTTCCGGGCACGGATGATCACGGATGCATGCAACGAAAGACACCGATGGTTCCGGGAGGGGATTTTGGTTTGCACAGACCACATACGATTCTGAATGGATGGCCTCTATCAGGGTGGTTGGACAGTAGACTAATGAGGTTGTGCTGCTGCTGTCTGCGATGAGCGCAACCAATACGAGCCTTGGTTTCTAGATAGTGAGGTGACGTGCTACGTTCCATTGAAACCTGATGTAACGAATGCTGTTTAGCTAGGCAATTGAGTACTATCAACGCCCATGCTAAAGTCATCCAAAGTCATTGATGAGATTGTGTTGTTGCTCGCTTGTTGAATGTAAATGCTTCCAGTTGACAACCTGTCTGGTGAATTTTGGTTCCATAAACCTGTGTGGATCATGATCCTTTTCTCACAGCTGAAGACCAGTTCAACGATGCACCAGACCGTGAGAATTTGCTTGACACGTTCACTTAAACTCTAGCAGCAGACACACATGTTCTCATTGAAAGCTACACCCCATCATCCATCCTGAGTCCCAAGTGGAACCGACTCTCTTCGTCTTCAGAGTCTTCACCGGCTAAGCCACTGAGACTGGTCGCCGCGACCCTCGTTTTCCTCCTCACGGCCACGCGCGACGAGCTTCTTTTTCGCGCGCTGGCAGAAGCAGCTCGCACAGCGGTGGAGAAGAAAGGTGGGGTAATGCATTGTTACTAGTAGCTTCTTGTTACTAGTAGTAAGGCACCTGTTACTACTAGCTTCTTGTTACTACTAGTAAGGCACTTGTTACTACTAGCGTGGCACTTGTATCTACTAGCTTATTATTAGCCTTTGCCGATGCGTCGAAAAAGACAAATGACCTTCCGCAACAAGGACGCTACGAACGGAGCAAGGGCATCGCTACGATCGTAGCTTTCATATTGAGAAAAAACAACTTGTTATCCATTGTAAGCCCAATTCGTCAGCTACCATAGCATGGTGAGACCTGAACCGGTGGCGGGTGATAGCCTTCAGCACCATATAAATAATTACACTATACATGCCTCTTGTTCTGGTTGCTTTTGTTGAGAGTCCATGCTTCAAGCTTCAAGGTATTGGAGAATAAGTCATTCTTTTAAGATAATGACTCAATCACCGACAGGTTTTCCTTCCAGGCATCAGCCGATTGCATACCTCGTCTTGTGCCGACTCAACGGAGCCGGGCACCAGGCCACGGGACAGTGGTCTTGGTTTGTGGCGTGGCGCATGTGATGCCTGGCAGCCAACCAGTTTGTTTTTTCCTTTTTGTGGGTTCATGTGCTGAGGAGTTCGGCTCACCATGAGAAAGCTGTCCTGTCTATGTCCTGTCTATGGGTTAACAAACCTCTCAATGTAAGAAGAAGTGTGATTCATTATTGATTCATTTTCCTGTGGTGATAGCTGTGGCCACTAGCGACTCCCCACAGTTGCGAGGAATGGCATCGCTCGCTATGTCGCCAAAGCAAATGGATCTTCAAACTGAAGATGTAAAGTGTCCAGCTGCGAACCATGGGATGCAAACCGAAGGGTTGATCTTTGATGGCAGCATGAAAAACCTATAGAGTTAATATCCTGACCAAAGGTCATACGTGACTTCTGGTTGTTTCCACGCCTTTTGGACATTGCTGGACAACTACAGTAGCCTGGTCTACCAGTTGCTGTACTCGCAGAATTGCAGTGTGTGCTGTTTAGGTTGCGGCCCCAAGCGGTTTCAGCTACCAGTCTGTGTAGCAAAAAGGATCAATCCGAGACTCAGACCCACCAGGTGACCCTGGTGGAGCTGGACCTACTTTCATAGACTCTACCTGTCCCAAAGAGGTCCAGCTGTTCAGTTGGTCAAATCTTCCAAGCGGATCCTTTGAGGACCTGAGGCCAAGCGTTTGGCCCTTGTGCATAGAATCTGGTCCTTCCCCTGCCATGAAAATGGGTTTATCACAGAGAATGGCAAGAGTTTCACCTGGCAGGTGAAGGACTGTGTCCAAGTTCTTGGAAAACTGCGTGGATTCTCCTAGAAAGGTGCCATCCAGCCATTGCCAGTGAAGATAGTCTTCAAGTTCATCAGTTCTTTTTGGGTACGAGACGTGCTTTCGATGTAGTCATGACCCACAATGGCCAAGGCCAAGACAGGAACTTGGGAAGCTTTCCTTCAAAGCTTCACACAGATTTGAGGTTGGAGAAGGGTGTCGACAGAGTCTATGTAATGCTCGAAAACATTTTCAAATGTACAAAGGCACATGTTGAAATTGTGACCGTCTAAATTAGCTTTGTAGGAAGAGTTAAATATGCAGCTGATACAGTACTTGCAGAACTTGGTGGTTTTGAAAAAGCAAACCTGGTTGGCCGCAATGTTCAGGCACGTGGTGGAAATGCTGAGACGTGGCAAGCGGCCCCGATTTGCAGGTTAGTTGGTTGGTTGGCCAGGGTATGGACTGTGAATGTTGCAAACTCACACGACCGTGGAATCAGCCAAATTGCACAATGGGTCTCTCCATGTGTCCATTGGTTATGCAAAAACCATGCTGACATATCCAGCACAAACCTCCACCCTTTGCTACGATCACAGCTTTGCTGAAAGGATGATGACATGGCCATGGCATGTTCACTGGCATGTGCTTGATCTTACAAGGCAAGGTACTCTCGCTTCCTTGTATTGGCATCCTTGCCATGGAACCTTAAAGATGGTTTGGTGTTTGTTCTGCTCGGGAAAAAAAACAGGTGAACGCCTCTCATTGCTGGAAGAAGCCCTTTCCTCCTCGTCCTACAGGCCAGACGCGTCTCGCCGCTCGCGTCCTTGCCTAACGCGTCGCCAGTGCACGGTTTTCGCGGCAGTACGATGGGACGACGTCGACGGTCCTTGGGCGTTGGTCAAGGGACCAAGCGTTGGTCGACCGAGGAAACGCTGTGAGCGGGGAAAAGGAGGAAACGCACGCCTGTGCCAGGGCATCCAGAATCGGACGTCAATCTAGCCGTTCGGCACAGCTTGGCCAAAAGGCGTTCCACCTTTCAGGTCCATGGAGGAGCTGCGGCATCAGATTGAGGTGGGACAGGACCAGCTGCGCATGTGAGTATGACTATGGGCAGTCAGAGTCACTTCAATTAGGGAAAGTGATGGAATGTGGGTGTGGACCAGAACAGTGGACAGCTGTTGCTCAGGCATGCACATGATAATTCTCGGCTAAAGATGGCTATATGCTCTCATTCCACATGTTCCAGTTATATTCCACATGTTCACTGGATGACATGCTTGGTTTCACACAGTTTTCTTCCAGTAAAAATCAGACTTGTAAACACATTCCACTTAGGAGCAAGGACGCTACTAGGGGCTCCTGGCCTTACTACTAGGAGCAAGGACGCTACTAGGGGCTCCTGGCATCGCTACTAGTATCATTTTTCATTATACTTATCATATCTATCAACTTGACATTGACCTCTTGCAGGTTCTTCTCCGAGTCCCGCCCAGTCCCGAGGCCTGGCGCGAGGCGGAGCGCGCGGCCTTTGATGCGGACCGTGGCCTGGCGAAGGCTGAAAGGCGGGTATGGGTGTGGCCGCGTAAGGGCGAAGGCTCTCGGAGCGGAGGAGATGGAAGACCGGTTCTTTCTTTCTTGGATTTTTTCGGGAAGTTCCTGGGACGGTGTGAAAGGAGCAGTGATATCTGGTGGAGATACGAAGTGATGTAGAATTTATATTGGATGACGGCATGGAAGATACATGCATCCCAGTGCATCCGACTTGAAAAGGACAAATCGCAAAAAGAGCGAGGATTGCCTGAAATTGAGTGGACTGTGGGAAAAGGAAAGAACAAGAAAGACACATCCGTAGTCCCTGAAGAAGCTACTGTTGAGGGGGCCCTAGTATACCTATGTATAGATCCAACATAATACAAGACGCTGAATGTGTTTCTGTCTTTAGGTGTCCTTCCCTTCTGAGGCTACTACGACTCGCAGCGGACACTGGGATACACCGAGCACAATCGTGGGTCTCAGGAGATGGACCCGACTGAGATCGAGTTGGTCAGAAACTTCAGGGACCTTTGACATCCCGAGGAATTGAAATGAATTGACAAATGAATTGAACACATGCTTGTGCTGGCTGCGCACTTTAGGACCTTAGGACGCTCCACGCAAGTTTAGTGAAGGAGTTCTACCTCGTTTGTGGCATCAAAGAGGGTCACACAGTTGGATCCACGTCGGACCTCAGTGTGACGCGCAACCTGGGCCAAAGAATTCAGGAGACCTTGACCAGACGCACTTTGCAGCTGTGTTCCTTGCAGACTGATTCAGTGCCCAACAAGGACTGGAACCTCAAGCTCCCAAGCGCCATGTCCTTTTTGGAAAGGGAAGCCTCAGCTTCAGTTTACCAGATGCAGTGCTCGATCGTTGAAGGGTCAACACCTAACGCCCATGTTGTTGCGCAGGCAGAGAACATTCTGGCGGTCGCTTCCTCAGCACGTTGACTCCCCAATCACATCCAATCATCAAAATTTTTGAATTTTAATATCCTTTTCAGATCTCCTTAGATCCTTTCAGTTTCCATCCCACCCAAATCGATTCTTTGCATCAGTTACTTTGGTGACTTCATCGCAGGCCGACTCGGCGCCAGGTGGACCTGGGCTGTGGCTCGGGGCTGTCGACGGTGGTGGCCTCCAACTTGGGCCTCGCCACCATCGGTCTCGACTTGTCCTCGGAGATGCTCCGGTCCAGCGAGTGGGGAGAGGTTGGGTGAGGAAGTTGGGCCGAGAAGGAAGCAGGGGAGAATTAAGAGCTAGCTGGAGGATATTTTAAGATTTTTAAGAGGAACCATACGACGGGGGGAGAACGTCAAGAAGGCTTATGAGCCTTATGAGGTTATGATGTGATCCACTAGATTCAGATCACTCAGTCCTTAAAATGCACCAACATTGACAGAATCGACCATGGGCCGCATAGGGGATTCTTTCATGGATTTGCAGAGCGGAAAACCCATCGCAGCACCATGCTGTTTGGCAGCTTGGAGGCTCATGTAGTTGGACTGGTAGACTTGCTGCAGTCGCTCGCCTCGAGACAACTCGCAGGTGTCCTCCACGCGAGGACCCTTGGCTGGTGAACGGATACGAGGTGATCTTGCTCAACCACTTCCTTTCAGACACTAAGCTGAACTAATCAACAAAAACACCAGACGTTTGCCTCCAGTCAGTTAGAGATTGGCTGAGTACTGTGGTGGCGATAATTCGGAATAGTTGTATATAGTTGTGTTCCGGAGGAGGAAGCCATCCGCACTGCTTGGTGGAACTGTCAGATTAGTCAGTAGATTAGTCACAATTGGATGCCTGAAGGACAGTCGTACCTGCATTCTGGTTGCACGCGGCACCGTTGTAGGATTTGTCCAGAGCTGGGTCAAGTTCCAAGTACTGGTACAAACGAGCCGACGTCTAACAATAAAACTGTGAGCTGAAACTTGATGCATCCACTACTCTTCACTATGACTTTCATCAGCTTTCATCCTCCAACAGACCTTTTTAAGAGAATCTCTCCGAGAATTCCAAATGAACGGTCACCGGATAGTAGCGTTCTTGTTCCGTTCGTAGCGATGCCAGGAGCCCCGAACGTAGGGAACATTGTTCCTAGCTTCTTGTTCCCCCAGGAGATGGTGTCTTCGATTTGTGCTTCAGCGTCTCAGCCGTGCACTACTTGGTCCAAGATTCCCTGGCGCGCACCGCCGCGGAGCGGATCAGCGCCTTGACCAGCAGCCTGCGGAAGATCTTGACGCAGACAGCCCGCCCATGCACGTGACTCGGTCCAACGGCGATCGAAAAAGAGAAGAGGCGTGTCGTTTGGGGGGTCTTCTCATGGATTATCTGATTTTTCTAGTTATATGTTAAAATTGGATTGATTTGTCTACTGTATGTTCTTAGATTCTTATAGATTCTTATATATAGATGTCAGATGTCTATTAGATATTTGTTGGATGTTCTTTTCCCTTTGGGCAGATTTGGATTTCTGGATCCGTTCGAGTCTAAGAGTTGGATTTTCAGTGTTCCAGAGACTGTTAGACTTAGGCTGCAAGCTTACCTGACGAGGGATTCCAATGCCGTTGAGAGCTTCCGCCAAGTCGCTTTGCGGGATGGATGGGGTCTTTGCGAGCTGGTGGTTGATCAATCCCATGGGCAGAAGGCAGAGAGAGACTTTTTATATCTCTCACAACAAGCAGAAGATCGCCCACCTCGATGTGTGCTTTATGAACATGCCCAAGCTACTTGCGCGTTGGCTTTGGAATCCTGGACGTATAGAACTGGAGCTCCGCATCCAGTTCGTTTAGATGCTGCACATCGCGCCTGGCTAGTTCGTGAGCACGACCGGTATGCAAGGCGAATGCTACGCTTGCACAAGAGATTCTTGACGATTTGCCTTTTTACTTTTTGTTTGCAAGACCAAAGTTAGTGAGTGGCTCTTCCAAGCTTCATAGACTCCATTATTTTTCTCATAATTGGGTGTCATACCCGGCCCTTCCGCGTATACTACAGGTGTTGGGTGCTTCCCTCGCATGAGTCAATCATCCACCCGCACGGTGAGGGCCGTGCTGCCTCAGGATGTGAGACCGGCGGCAGTTTGGATCACTCGGCACCTTTGGGCCCGGAAGCCCAAACCCTGGCCGACCGCTTGGCCGCCGTGGAAAGCACTGAGGATGAGGAGGTGCCGTGGAAAGCACAACCGCCCCCAAAGAACACCGAAAAGACTCGAGAGGAGTGTGGGACAGTGACAAAACTAAGTCTGTGCTGGAGGACCGTAAGTGTTGGTGTTTCTGGGCGTAGGACGTCGACTGGTTCTGGATGGTGTTCTGGCCGGGACGACCGTGAAGCACCACGGTCGATGGTTGGGACTCATCAACGACTGGCTAATCGGAAGGACTCCTATCGAAAGCGTTGTGGATCATGCTGGTCATCAAAGACAAAGCACTATAGTCTATAGTATTCATTCAGGTTCTTCAAACCGTTCAGATCAAGACATTTGATTCACTATGTGCTACTCCGTGTCGATTTGACAATTGCATCCAAGAGATGATAGTCATTAGTTACTGAATCTCCTTCTTCACGTTGCTTTAGGATCTCGGTCATAAGCAATGCCAGTTGCTTTTGATGTCGTGGTTGAAGAAGACCGTCAACCATTAAACCAATTTCTTGTAGGGTAGACATGTTTTGGAACAGATCCCCAACTCCCAACAGTAACAGAGCTGCTAGTCGATTCAGGCACGCCTCTCAATGATCTTGAATGTGCTACACACATGAAGAGTGCCGAAGAACATCGAAGATTTGCACTTCTTTTGGCTGCTTCTCCTCGATGAACCCGATGTCGCGTCCGCCCGGCACCGCCTCCATCGCTGAAACGAGCGACCACGTTGGGTCGCCCGTTACGCTTCGCTCCACCGCGCCGACCGCGGTGAGCCACGACCGAAACGATCCACTCCGCCGTGGGTGATGGCGAAGAAGAGCCATAAGAGCCATGGGGAAAGTCGACCAACGGACCAATGAACGTGATTTGGAAGAAACCCTGCAGCCGAGCCTCACTTCATGTCTATTCAGCTGCTTGCAATGTAAGAATGTAGGCAAATTACTTGGTCTTGTCCAAGCTTCTTTTAATTTCTGATGCACTGGCTCAAGGAGATAGGTTAAAGTTTATGCATGATGCAAGGTCAGACACTTGATTACTCTTTCTGGAGGCGACGAATCACTCTCCAAGCGTTCATTGACAGTCGGAAAGCAACAACAACGCAAAGGCGTGTTATCAAGATTCCCTTAGAAAACCCTGCATATGGCAATCGACAACGGGACATTCACTCCCTCCACACCAGCCTCATCCACACTGCACTTTAGACCACCCACCGATAGACACACAGACACGTGTCTTGCTCTTGTATGTTCTTGAGTGTTCCTGTTGCGCATGGCTGAGTGATATTTTCGGTTTGAAGTTCTAGTTTCTTGGCGATTGTAAGTCAGAGCTGCTTAGTTGCGCAAAAGCTAACCACTCACCCTCCAGAGGAGCCTGAACATGGGGCAGCCAGCTCCTTCAAGGGGTTGATTTCGCTTCTGAAGTGCATTTTTTGATGGCGTAGAGCCCTCGACACGCTGCGGGAGTCAAGCTTGCTTGGATTGTGTCGGAGGATTTGTTGCCGCGCAACGAGGTCGTCTCCAGGGTGCTCTGAGACATCACTGCAAAACTTGAACGAGACCATCACAGAATTGATTCGCTTGCTTTTCCCTGGTCGTTTATTCAAACGGAAAGTTGGCAGCACGCGGTGCAAGTTCCTGAATGAGAGATATTGCAGGATATACGGTATACGCACTAATTCTAGCCTTGAGTATGTGAGCTCTTGAGCCAGGTCAGCCATGTCCGCTGCGCAGGCCAACAATTTGAACTCTCATGAGTTTACAACAGTTTACAGACATATCAAATGAACTCGGACGATTCCTGTAGTATTTTTTTCTGCTGGATCAATGCATGGTCTTCCATGATGTTCATGTTTATTTTTTGTTGGACTGAGTCCTGACGCATATTCAGGTCCAGGCGTGCACGGAAAAAACGGTGCAGCACTCATGGACTGTGCCAGGTGATGCAGCAGCAGCAGGTGGTCAACTCGATGCTGCAGCAGTTGCCACAGCAGCAACGCTCGCAGATCGAGCAGGCCGGTATCGAGTCGAGCAACGTGCATGCTTTGATCGTTCATTTGAGCACTCCTTTGAGAATCTTGAAGGGAGTTGCACAAGTTGTATGATGTACAAAAGCTGCTGTCTCTTGAGTAACGAAACTGGACTCAAACTGACGACATTCAATGGCTACCTCAGAGCTTGCGTTTTTTTATTTGTCATTTGTTCGCAAGGTCAGGACATCGCCAAGTGATTGTAGGAGTAACCTATCAGGACTAAGACGGCACACGAAGCCTTTGCAACAAAGATGTTGCACGAACCTATAATGGCATGGGCCAAATATGGCCAAATTTGGGTCCTAGTACAGGGACTCAGGGACTCTCAGTCACCCCTGATGCAAGCCGTGCCCTTTCGAGCTGGCCGTTTTTGGGCACCAGCTGTGGGACATTGTTGGAGACTGTAAATTTATGATAACTTCAATGCCGCGGGAGGGCATCAACACCATAGGCAAAAAAGATTCAACGATGCCAGAATAGGCATCAAACAAATACTTGAGGGCTTCCTCAATAGATGTGTATTGAAGTAGAAGAACCCATAATCCATGAGTCTTCTATTGATCTCCTCTCTCCCAGGCGGTCAATAACTACCGACAGAGCTTGGTGTCTCAAGGACACAAGAATGACACGGTCCAGGCCACGTGGTACCGTGGGGTCGAGCTCTTTGGGCCGGATCGAACTAGTTCTGGGAACAAATGGCAGAACAATCCCGTTGGGAGAGCTCCGAGCTCGGATATGATTACTGTAGGTTTCTTATGATGTTTTCTTGCTGTGCATGTCCACCACCACACATAAATCATCATAAATCATCATAAATCCATAGTATTGTAGTTCTGCCAAGCTGCATGGCCGTGGATCACAATCAAACTGTCCACAAGTGGATTGACCTTTTGAAGCAGAACGTGTCCTGTCCGAGTCCTACGTTTGGAACTACTACACGCAGTGGGTGCAGAAGCTCTACGCGGACCGAGCCACTTCGATGTTCTTGGTTCTGGGTGGACACCAGGCGGAACAATGAGATGCACTGTGATGCACTCCTCCACACTGGGTGAGAGAGAAGTTTTTTGTCGTTTGGCAAGCTAGCTTGACAACTTCCCTATAGATCGGTTAGACAAGTTCCTGCCCATAGTCAACTCATGTCAATTTCATAGTTGGCGCTAATGCTTTTGAGTATTGTTAGTTATTGAGAAAAACATGTCTAACGAGATAGATTAAACCATATATTTGACTATTTTATTGTATAATTGTTTCTCTATATAATTGAAACTGTCTCTGGAAGTGTGTCTGAAAACAAAGCAAAACTGATTCATTTCCTTACCAAAAACAATCATGGCATGGAAGACTTTTCTGTGTTTTGCACAACATAGATGTCCTAACAATCCTACATCTCTAAACTGCAACAGACAACAAGATTGTACCACTGCTGTGTTGTCACAATAATCCTACAGCCACTTGACATGAGAGTTCCACAACAATCCTACACAGTGTTACTCACCTTCCAAAACAATCGTACAGTGTCACTCACAGGTGCCACAACAATCCTACAGCTTCAGGCCAAAACCCACACCTTCTCACAACAATCCCAGAAGAGAAAAGCTCAGTCCAGATTACTACCACACGATAATCCAAAAGCCAGGTGAGACTGCAGTGTCCAGATTAAGCAAGTCTTCAGGCTTGAATTATGACCTAAAATAATAGAATTAACTTACACAATTGACTTGTATTTAAGTTCACTTCAAAATAGACCTTATATAAAATTGTTTTTTTTTGATTAAGATCGTTAAACAAACAAAAGTACATTGACTATTAGGCAGGAAATTGTCTAATCCGATCTATAGGGTTGGAAGTGTCCTCAGATCCCACTGCCGGCCATTCCCGTGGTTCCAAGATGTTGGCCATGTGAGATCCAGATTGCAGGAGCAGACCAAGCAAGCTGGCCAAAGTCAGGCAGATCAAAGCCATGCACAGGCCACGAAAGAGTCAACAACGGCATAAGATGCATAGTTCAGGGGCTTGGCCCAGCTTGGTTGTGAGGACTAGAGAACACCTTTGCCAAACACACAGCACCTGCTGCAAGCTATCCAGTTTCCATTCCGGTTTCTGACGTATCGACCCTCAGGGTTGCTGCACTGCTGCACCAGGGGCTCCTGGCATCGCTACTAGGAGCAAGGACGCTACTAGGGGCTCTGGCCGTACTACTAGGAGCAAGTAGCTACTAGTAACAAGAAGCTACTAGGTGTCTTTTTTTCTCAGCGCCAGAACCGTTCGCAGGTCCCGAGCCTTGCTCAGCAAGCGCAGCAAGCGGCACAACAGCAGGCACAACAAGCGCAGCAGGCACAACAAGCGCAGCACGAGCAAGCGCGTCAAGCCCAGACTCAGGACTTGGGGAATGGATGGGAATGGTGCACGAAGGACATGGAAAGGCAACGGCTCGCCGGCCTCACCTTTTGACCGCGAGAAGGTACTGTTTTGATCTGGTACTTGATTCCAGAATGTTTGGTATTTGAAGGTATGTGCTTTCGCCTCCAGAAAGCCTCTCTTTCACGATCCCGAACTTGGCTTCCACGTCCTGTGAGTTCCAGCTGGGACATGATTGCTTCCCTCATCATCCTTCGCCAACCCAGGAGTCATCTCAGCCCTCATTGCTGAGCGGGTGCTTGGGAGGCCCGCCTGCTGTGCAAGAGACTGACATCACCCCCAAAAACCCGGCCCGCGGCAACAGAGCTGTCATTTTCAGGACTTCTTCATCAGGGTTCATTGACTTGCAAAACATAGCAACAAATCCCTCCTTGGATGCAAGGAAAATCACAAGCCTTGCGTTATTAATGTTTATGAGCATTTGGTCCTTGCTCCAAACAATCTCCAATGGCCGGCACCTCAGCGTCGCGAGCCTCATGACGTCAGGTTCATCTCCGGGCCTGCTCAGTGGACAACTGGGAGGCACCGTTGAACACACGCATCCGCATTCTGCGCCACTGAGTCGTTGTGGCTTTTCTGGGCTCTGAAGAGTTGATGTCGAAGACCGACATCAAACGATATCAAGGGCTCCTGGCCTTACCACTAGGAGCAAGGACGCTACTAGGGGCTCCTGGCATCGCTACTAGGCTACTAGGGGCTCCTGGCACCGCTACTAGGAGCATTCTTATTAGTATCAAGAAGGCTAGTAGGTTGGACGGAACCGGTGAAGAGTCGATGTCTCCAGGCAGCTCCACTGGACTTTTGAGTGGCAACTTGGGCGGTTCCTCGGTGGGAGCTCTCTCGGCTCGACAGGAGCGGTGACCGGGGTGTCGGGACTGACGGGCGACGACTGATCCGCTAAAGATGCCAAAAGCAAACGTACAGAGTGCGCCAGCATGCGACAGCATGCGCAAGCATGCGCAAGCGTTCCACGGATTCTTGCCAGTATCAGAGCCCGCGCAGGATGGGGGGCACTATGCCAGCCAGAGCCTGAGAAATAGCCTAATGACAGTTTGAGAACGGAAGTTGACTCGACGGATTTGTGGGATGCGTTTGACCTTAATTAAGAAAGCTTTTGTGCCGCTCCTGGAGGACACCCCCTTCTTCCGGGAGCTTCCAACTGAGAGTATCAAGACCATTCAAGACCTAGATCTTGCAGATTTGGATTGTCACAGTATTTCTATTTAATTGCAGGTTAGTCAGAAGATGGTTTTAGTTCGTTTGCTTTGCCGATTTGCCGTTATCTTTCCCATCGGCCAGGTGCGTCGCGACCCATTGGCTCGTCGCAGGCGGACGACAGGGACCTGAAACGACTGGCGGACCGTGTGAGGTGTGCACCAACTGGCGGACCATGTTGGATGAATTTTGCAGCTTCGCTTCAAGACGAAAACAACAAAAAGGCCCTTTGTTGGATCATCCGGCGTTCCGCCGCCAAAAACTCTCTGGGTGTGAAGCCCTCATTGACCACATCCGACTCTGACCATTTCGTTGGGCGAGTTTGGCTCAAGTATAGCAAGCAGTTTCTCGTCTTAGTCGGGAAGCTGAACTCAGAGCCACCCCACGATGGCTGCAAGGATAGTCACATGTGTATCTTTGCTTGCGTCCGCGACCCTTGATGACCTTAGTCAGATTCTATTTGTTGGTGGACAAGCTGCGATGCAAGCTGGGTGTGGGTGCCGGCTTCACCTGCCCGATAAAATCGCCTAGGATTCGCACCTTGCTAGGGAATGATTTCTAAAGAAGGAGGGTTTTAGCGGCTAAAACGCAATGTATTTTATTGTATGTGTATGTGGTTGTTACTGAGTTCACCTGCTCATTTAAGGGGGAGTGGGGACCCTAAACCTATCCACCATTGAAAGAGAGGCTATGATTGCAGGTCACAGGGAGTGCTCTCCGAGCACGAACACACGGAAAGTGATAGACCACCGACCTCATGTAGACCAAATCAAGTTTCTCAGTTTCTAGTTTGTCAAGACCTCCAGGTGTGGTCCACCATGGGTCTGCGTCAACTGGTCGGTCTCCTGGCGCCATGACCCGCAGCCATGTCGTTTTTACTGAGGACTGCTGGTGTGCCTGCTGATCAGCTTCACTTGCCACACAAGTGGGTTCCAGCAGAGCAGTGTACCTTCGTCAATCCCCCGGTGGTGCAGCTGGCTGCAAGTTGGTGGTTTTATTGAAGCAGCTATCTAAGGGATTTGAGGGATTGTCATTGCCAAAGTAAGTTGCTCCAGTATTCTATGATATTCTATGTGTTTTTTCATGACTGGTTCACCTATGTGTGTTGCCTTTTGGCGGCATTTTAAGCAGCTGTCCCCGGCTGTTTGGTTGAGACCCCGTTGGCCTGTTGAATGATGACTCTCTGTGTAATGACTCCATTGTTCGAGCGAAAATGATTGGCTGTGCTGCAAGACCAAACACTTGTATGCAGAGGTGGTTTGGTCGATAGTATGTGTTTGTTTCGTGCTGCTGTGCCTGTCAATGGCATGGTGTTTCGTGTTTGGTCTTCGCAGAAAGGTTGCTTCTTGAATCATGTATCCATGTTTCGCTTGACTTTCCTCATGTACTTTGTTGGATTGCGCTGTGTCCTTTTTCGAGCACCATCAAGCAACCCATTTGCAGGTTCTCTAACAGAATCTCATTGATTTACATCCCCAGGTGCCCTATTATTGGGATCCGACCTGCAACAGCAACGTCGTGTCGCTCGGTTGTTGGGCAGATCCTTGGATCAGCAGGCTGGACTCTAGAGACTGGGGTCTGTGGTAAAGGCCATGGAGACTGCCGTAGTGATCGTGTACATTCAATAGATTCATATATAGATATAACATATATATATAGTTATATATATTATGTGTGTGTTTTTGAATAGAGAGACTCCCCAACCAATGGGTGTTGGTCTATTTTCATTCTTCCAGGGCGTCTTTGGGAAGTCTCACACCAATATAATATATATATATATATGCTACCCCCCAGTACCTACCTCTCATGGCAATGGCAACTGTTCAGGAATAAGTTGCACCAGCAAACGAGTGTCTTGTGTATCTCTTGTCTACTCTGCCCCATACATTCCTATCACCTGTGGTTGTTACGCACCTCTAGTAGAAGTAGTAGCATCAGTGGTAGCCTGTAACAATGCATCGAATCTAAAATGTGGTTCTCCTCATTTGTGTTGTCTTCACCTGAGATGTTCAATCTGATGTTCTTGCTTCCGCATTTGGGTTGTGCACAATTGACAAATCGCCTACTTGTTACATATTTACTTGCTTCAGGTAATGTAACGTTTAACATTATTACCATTCTGTATTTTGCTTCTGCTATGATATTACTCATGTGTATTTCTTGTTTGTTGAATGTGAACTCGCTTGAACATTAGCTATTGACTGTTATTGCGAGTATTATGAACATTTGTTGTACGATATTGTTGTTGTTCTAGTAGTTCTTTTATCCCATCATAATCACTTGGTGACTCATTCATTTTTTCTAGCTTGTCATGACTACTGGTTATTTTGGTTAGTGAAATGAATATGGTTTATGATTGTAAGTAACTTTGTTGTAACACATTGTTATTGTTAATTAGTTTCTATGGTTTATATTATGCAATCCCTGACCCTCAAATGATTTGTATGTGTGTGTGCGCGCAATGAATGGGTTCCATTCATTAACACGTTGAGTTTCAGCGTAGCCATCCAATGCAGAAACACTACTGTATCATGTTTGTTTCTGACATTTAACTTTCTTGAAGCTTGTTTGCCCCTTCTCTTCCAATGCGTATGTGGTTGTAGCAAATCTCTCTATATATATATACATATACTGTATATTGTGTTTTCTTCATTGATTTTCTGGACAACTGCTGACCCCAATAACACCAATTGTGTTATTTCTGGTGACTTTTTCAACAAGTAGGTCATGAAATATGCATGTTTTTCCAAACGTTCATCCATGCCACCAGTGCCACAAATATAACGTGTCTTACCTGCTTTGTATAATCTTGAAGGGCTCCAATAGGCATGTCTCAAACCCAATCAGTCTTCTACCTTTTCCTTATTTGCTACATTCCGTTCTTCAGCATAAAGTGTTCTATGCTGTTTGTATTGCTCATTTCGGTTTCTGACAAAGTTGTTGATTCATCCTGTTGTTCCAATGTTTGTTCATTTGTTCATTGTTTTCTAGAACACACGTGCCAAACTCTTTCAAGCACATTTATGCACCAGCCGTACCGTATGATTAACTGTTTTCTCTTGATACCAGTAGGCTCCCATAACCTTCTGTGGTCGTTAGCCCCCATTAGCCTTTGCAATGCCTCCTCACCGCCTTCTCTTGCTGATAACCTTTGTAGACACGATGGGAGGTGAGTGAAGGAGTAAAGCACTAGGAAATCCTAGAATTTTCCTGGAACCAAGAACCAAGATTGCACGGAAAGTCTTGGGGACAATATTCGTTCTGATGAAAATATGTTAGACAATCCATCACCAGTAAGATTTTCAGGAACCAAGAATCAAGATTTTCCCCACGACTTTGTGTGCAATTTTGGTTCTTGGTTCTTGGTTCCAGGAACATCTTAAGATTGATTAAGAACAATTTTATACTATGTTGTTCTGTTTTTAACCTAACATTTTCACCTGCAGTGCACGAGGGGGGTGCGGATGGCCCCCCCGGGGCCAAAGGAAAATATACATCTCTCTCTCTCTCTACATATATCTCTATATATATATTGAATATTAATCTGTACGATTTCACAAATATACTCAATATAGTCTATTGTTCTAGGTCACTAGGCATCAAAAACAATCATAAGACTCTACAATGGCCAGCAACTGCAAACTCACACAAAAGACTGTAAAACACATGCTTTCATAGCAAAGGTAGGGCCTGGAGGGGGGGTACCATCTATATATAGAAGAGATTTGAAGAGTGAATTCTCTTGAAACGTGTTGTTGGATATCGTTTCTACCAACTTGTGAGGCAGCTCTAGGTTCTGGGTGTTTTTTGATTGAACAGTAGTGGCCAACAAGCTGTGACATGTTTAGGCGAACGCTGCATTGCAACTTGTCCATGTTGTTTTCACCTGGCCAGTCAGAACATGATCTCAGGATGGCGTTCACAACGAGTGCCGCTTCTGCGGAGAAGAACCCTACACAGGAATACATTGCCCAGATGATGCCATTGTTCCATACCGTAAGAGCTGTGAATTTGACAATCCGCCAATCAACACCTACTTCTGGGATGCGGACTGCAAAGACGGTGACCTGGGTTGTAAGGCCGATGGCAAGCACCTTGGATGTCGGTGGTGTGGTTTTGGAGAGTACTCCTCAATCGAATGTCCTTCATCCTCATGTACCTTTGAAAATGAGCCTGTCACACCATACTACTGGGACACCTTGTGTGAGATGGGTATGCTTGGATGCTATGCAGATGGTATCCATGTGCAGTGCCGTTTTTGCGACTACCAGCCCTTCAACACAGTCCACTGCCCGCCTTCTGCACGGCCTGCGTATCCAGATGGTGAGTGCTGGTTTCCCTCAGGGACAGCACAAACCCACAAGTGGGATCGGCACTGCATGTGGGGCTTGCTTGGCTTCATGGCTCAAGATGCAGCGAGATGAGAGAGGTTAGGGTATCATGGGGTCAAAGCCCCAACATCAAGGAGGTGAGCTAACATCAGAACAACGATACTATGTGACTCATAGTCCCCCAAGATTCAACTACTTACAGTATTCAATACTGCATATTTAAATTAGCCCAACAACTAATCTCCAACAGCTGGGCATGAATTTGCTGGTTAAGCAATTGCACATTTGGCATTCGTCAAAAAACTTGCAAGGATTGCAAGTATATTAAGACTAATCATGGTTTGTGTTTGTTAGACACTGCTGTTTTCAAAAGTGCGAATCACATGCCACGCGAGCGTATTGAGACCGCAATACGTCAGTGCAGCACATGTGCCCACATTTGCGCAAGCGTCACAACACCGCAAGAAGCCAGAGCCTGCGGGGAATCTTTTCCGGAACCCGCTTTGGAGCCCGCCAGCAAGTTAGTACGACAGCATGACCTTTTCACATCAATCTCAGCGTGATGTGTTAGCATGTTAGTGTGAACATGCCAATATGACAATATGTCAGCATGGCAGCCTGACAACTTGTCGGCATGACACCACGCCAGCACATAGGCGTAGCAACAAGTCGTGTCAGCGTGTTTACACCCTTGGGAAATGTTGCGCACGAACTGACAAGGGCTTGCAACATGCCAACCTAAGTAAAAAGAAGTCAGAATCCAGCACGAAGTGCAAGTAAGTAAGGTGGTTTGACCATGAAGTTGCATTTCTCAAAAGTGAAGTTCCCCAACTCCAAAGCTCTCAAGTGTCAAGACTCCAAAAGCGCAGGCTGGCAAAGGCTGGCAAATTGTTCTAGTTACACCAGGGACCGTAAGGAAATGATCTTTAGCACTGGAGCAGGAGGTCACCATAGAGAGCTTCGCTGGGCACAGCTCCATGGGCTTCCTGTCCCCCCCTGCAAGTGAAATTAGACACAAAAAGGTTGCCTTGGACTCCCAGGCGTACAAACACACACACACACTTAGACAGATGGCTCGCAAGAGCAAATGTCAGTTTTGGTAGCCTCGAGATGTTAGCACCTTAGGATCTAGATCTTGCATTACCAGTCTAGAGCGCTGAAG